AAAAAGTCCCTCCACAGCTTTCCTGTAGGCACCCTCCAGGTACTGGCAGGCTGCTATAAGGTCCCCCTGGAGCCTTCTCCAGGCTGAAAAGCCCCAGCTCTCAGCTGGTAGGTGGGGGAAAGGCTAAGTGGCAGGGGGAGATCATAGAATCATTTGAGTTGGAAGGGACCCTTAATGGCCACCTAGTCCAGCTCCCCTGCAGTGAACAGGGACATCTGCAGCTAGATCACTGCTCAGTGCCCCATCCAGCCTGGCCTTGAGTGAGTCCAAGGGCAGCATCCATCACCTCTCTGGGCAACCTTTTGCAATGTCTCACTATCCTTATTGTTAATAAATAAATAAGTTCCTTATATCCAGTCTTAACCTTCCCTCTTTCAGTTTGAAACCACCACAGCAGACTCTGCTGAAAAGCATGTCTCCTACCTTATCATCCCCCTTTAGATACTGAAAGATCACAATCAGGTCTTCTTGAGGCCTTCTCTAGTCTGAACAGACCCAGCTCTTTCAGCTTGTGAAATGGAGATGGTGACCACTGACTCAGCTTAAAGCCAAAAATGCCTCCTCCACAGCGGGGAGCATGCATGCTAGTTTGGGTACATAGAGCCAACAGAAAACAAGTAGATATATCTAATGCTATTTCTTGTAGTAAATGTCTATGTAACTACAGACTAATATAAGTACTATTTTGTGGGTCTGCTGAAGGTGTGCTAGCTTTGTGAAATTTGCACCTAGCACCCATCTTTGCACAAATACAAACTAAATACATTTTTCTGTTCTCTGTGTATAGGATTGGCAGGTAGGACACCAGCTACCAGATGCCATTTGCAGGACAATGTTAAAGGAGTTTAAAATGGCTGCAGTCAGTTTTTGGCAGCCTGAAGTCTGCAGCTCAGTCCACTGCTTAGGCAGCGAGATGGTTTCAGAAAACCACAGAGCTAAAGAAGGTTTCTTGCATAGATCAGGTCTGCCTGCAGGAGTTCAGCTCTTACTCTGTATGTCCATTTCTGTTCATAGAACTTAGATGCCTTCAGCAAAACATAAGTTTGTGTCGTAAAACCATTGAGATCAGTGGTTGTAGATTCGAACAATTAACAATGATTTAAATCCATGGAAACCAGGAGGGTAAGATGTGTAGATAAAAATTAAATATGATAGCACCTTTAATACCGGTCAGGTGAAGAACAGCAGTAGCTGTGGCTCTGAAGTGCTTCCTTGTTTCTGTGTGGTTGTTTCTGTTGTGGCTGTGTGGTTCCAACCTGTCACTAACTTGAGATGCAGAAAGCTGGTGCACAGAACAAACACCCTGTATCCACAGGTGTGGATGTGCTAGAAATCCTCAGTGCAGCCAACAAATGCGGCAGTTAGCACAGAAGGAAAAGAGAAGGAGGCCTGAGCTAAATTCTTGTTGGCATAAGCAAAAAGCTGGGAAAGAACAGCTTTTCTGTATAAGTGTTGTATTTGAGGCTATTCAAAGTGATCTCCAGCTCTTGTTCATAGCTTGCTTTAAGTCAGCTCTGCATGTTTCTCATGTGATAAAGAATGAAACTTATCCTGATTACTGCAGTAAGTTTGCTTCTTCACCAGCTGGGATATTTCTTTATGAGGGTAAGATCTTCATAGCTGTTATGATCTGCGCTAATGAAATCCAGTGGAGCTGATTTTCATTTCACTTTTTGTGTGTGTCAGCATGAACAGACAGCTCACTTACAGTTGTATGTTGTGTTCTGTGCAGAAAGCTACAGTACAGGAGGGATCTGTACCCAGATGGCAGTGAGCCAAAGGTGACACAGGACCCTTCATGGTAAGTTTTGAAACTAAGTCATGAAATACTGTGGTGGCTTGGGAGAAGTGGCCAAGGGGAGTGCAAATATGCTCCCAGCATTACAGAGCTTGCTGAAGTCTAATTATGGCTTTAAGATATTTTTGTTTTAAGTTTTAGACTGGGTGAGTTTGTGACAGAACACCCCTGCCACAACTGCCGGATTATTTCCCATTAAATGGAGGCCTAATTCAGGTCTGCTTTGTGTTCTCAAATATTAGCAGTGTGCTGATTAATTGTAGTAATGCGATTACTTTCTCTACTGTTGAGCCAGGAATTTGATTTGTGGGTCCTTTCTAGCTCACAGAATCACTCTATGATTCCAGATCTGTGTGGTCTGGGGCTATTTTGAACTGTCAGTACCAGCAAGGCAGTGACATCCCTGAAGAAGCCTTGTGCAGAGCAGCAGGGTTGGAGCCCAGGATGCACAATGGGACACAGAAGGCTTTTCCTGAACATAGGAGCAGCCTTAGCAAGCAAGTTGGCACACGGGAGTGAACCCACAGAAAGGAGTCCTTAGCATATGGTCACTTCTGCAGCAGCAATGAGACTTGAGGCAGGATGGCACAGAAGCATCACTGAGTTAGTGCCAACCTCTCAGAAGTCTATCAGTAAGGTTGAGGTTCCTGGTGTGCTCACAAAGCCTCAGAAAGATAATCTCCCTGGCAGCTAACCCAGGCTGCTGGGAAGAGCAACAGCCCTTGCTAGGAGCCACCCTTGCTAGGAGCCACCTCTGAGCAAGGAGTCTGTAATGGGATCCCCAAGTGGAGGGAAAGCCACCTGGCTGCTGCACAGACATCTATGCAGAAGGGATCCTCTGAAGAATGGATCGAATGGTTTATTTGGTGGGTGACATGAGAGAGGATCAGGAAGGCAGATCTTTGGGCTCTATCTTTGCCATCGAGCATGTCTGGAGGTGTCATGCAGGAGATAGTATGGAGTCAGTGGAGGAAGATCCACACTAAGACCAAAATGAGAACATAAATGCACAGCCATCTCCCACAAAAGTTTGCACTGTTCATGTTGCCTAGGATTCCTCAATGAAGAGGTGGGAACTCAGCTGAATGAGACCCTGGCTTCTCTGATGCCTCGGCCCAGTGCCTCAAAAGGGTGCTTTGGTCCACTGCCAGAAGGCAACTGAGGAAATGGAGAGTGAAGGTGTTGCCTTCAGCCAGCCTGTGCACAGCCTCCCTACTATCCATGGAGTTGCTGAGTTACAGGTGTTGTTTAAGCCTTTTTTTCCCTGTCCCACTAAGTTCTGGTCTGGCAGTTCCATTCAGTGGAACTGGTGAGCATCCAGTGAAGGGGATACAGTTGTGCAGTACCATGCCTAGGATCCCATTGACAAAGATGCAGAAATAGTCAAGCCGAGAGGATTATGGCCTCACACTGCTTCAGGAAGGACATCCCACAGGTGGGAAACAGAGGTGTTAGCCAGCTAACACAGTCTTCCTGTGGTCAATAAAAGACACATTACCTTTTATATGTTGTGTGAGTCCTTCCTTCTCATCTCACGTTGTCTGTGGATCCCCTTCCCCCTGTCCCTGGAGCATGAAGAGGGAGAGTCTGTTCCAGGGTGAGCCCCCATGGGGAAGGGAGGAGAGGGCTTTGCTTCCCTTATCCCATTAGAACAGAGAGAAAAGGCAACAGGCGGAAGGCAACCAGGGTCACTGGAGGTCTGGAGGTGTTGTGTGTTGTGGTCTTTTTTTTTTTTTTTTTTTTTATTTAAAGTTGATGGTATTTTTATTTGAAGCAACAGATTATCTTCATTACTCCATATCTGTTTCTACACCTTGGTTTCATTTTTATGTGTGGAGATGGGCCCATATCCAGTGAAGCTGTGCATTATTGTACAAAAGCAGTATTTCCAGACATTAACACATGCAGTGCACAGCCTAACAGGTGAACTTCAAGTCCTTCCAGGTACAGGTTTAACTGAGTGCATGGTACACTGGGAAAAGAAAGAACCATTCTCCTGCAGCTGCGTGGCTTTTGTCCAGAGGTGGTCCCACTTGCCTTTATTCAAACACAGCGACTGAATTTTGTGAGGCTGTTTGTCACTGAATATCATGCTACATACTTCTGTGGAAACTGGCTCTGGGAACAGCTACAGCTTTCTTCAGAAACGTGCTGAAACCTCCATGAAACTGAGGTTAGTACTCAGTGCAGTGACAACTCATGCAATGCATGGAGGCAGGGTTCTTTTTCTAAAGATGTAGTTTTCCCTTCAGCTTGCAGTTTCATGGGAGAAAAACGTGTCACAACTGCATTACTGAAGTTAGAACTGCTATCTGTTAGAGCCTTACTAGTATTATCTTCGTAAATTCCAGCTTGGCCTGCATTCCAAAGGCTTTTCTTTCACATTTTGGAGAAACAAAGCCTTCTAGTTCTACAGAAGTTGCAGATGTCTCATCTTTAGCCTCATTTTGCCTGGTGTTTTTTTTTGTTTGTTTGTTTTTTGTTTTGTTTTTTTTTTTTTAAGTAGAGGGCAGACTAAAGGCAATGTTTTATTACAAGGACTTCAGCTGTTCCCTTTCCCCCATCCCCCCCAGGGTTGACAAACCTGTCCCTTATCTCTCCTCCCAGCTGGACAGTTGGCAGTGGTGCGAACAGAAACGCCCTCTGAAGTGAATGTGGGTCTGCAAGGCAGCAGGAGCTCTGGGAGCTCTGCATGCTATGAATCCCAGGTCAGCACTATGACAAGAGGAGGTCAGCAGTCAGCTGTCTCCTTGCACCATGCTTTGCAGTGGAAAATGAAATCCCAGGCACAATTTCTGGCCTTTTGTTAAGAGCAGACTGCCTGAGTAGCACAGTTCAGGTTGGCTGGAGATGAAAAAGTTAGTCTCTACCCAGTGTGCTCAGAATGCCAGCATCTGAAAGCATCTTTAACACTGGATATTGAGATTAAATTTCTTATCAGTTTTGACACACACAACAGGCAGACATAGGATGGTGTGAGAAAGACAAGAATTGCTATGTATTATTTCTTTCCATTTAATAAAAAACAATTTAGGTGTGTTTACTATGCCCCCAAAAGAGAATACTCACTGCCTTGCATAAATCTCAGCTCATCCAACAGTTCAGTTCCCTTGGGAAGCTTCTTTTGCTTTCCTAAGCCTCTTCTCCATCCCACCCCTTTAGATTTTCTTTTTTTGAAAAAAAAAATATTCAGAAGACATTCTTAATTTTGGTAACCACAGCTTTTAATATAAATATATTCCTTATCACATAAATATTTCATGTAAACATACACTCAAAATACTGTCCCAAAGCTCCAGTTCTGTTTAAAAACAGTGCAAGAGGAAACAAACAACAACAAAAAGAAAAAACACTACAGGCAGCATGGAAATAACACAAAACCAATAGACATCAGACTATTTCTCCTGTATCTTTATAATTTTCAGGTAAATACTGACTGCCTCCATCTGTTAACCAGTTGTGTTCTTAGAGCACAGCTGCAGGAATAACAGAATCAATGCACGTTCACTAACATTGAATTGCCAACAAGTGAGGTCATTGGGAGAGGGGTCTGATGGTGATCTGGCAATCTAAAAAAGCTCACACTATCACCTTAGCTTCTCCAAAATCCAGGCCAAAATGACTTTGTCAATGATTATCTGCTGGGATTGTTAGCACTGAATTGCAGGGGTTATGCAGACAGGAGACTCAGTACCTGCCTCTGGAATTTTCTTTGGTTTTTATTTGCATTTAAGTTGTACAACAATAATTTGTTGTTCATTAGAAGCACAGAACATCACAAGCAATATACCCAAACACTTGTTTTTGACTTGGTATAACTATCAAAAAGTAACTTCAACGAATCACTGTAGAAATAGAATGTTTTTGAAGAGAATAAAAGGGTGAGGGGTAGTAAGGATCAGAGCTGAGGAAGCTGAGTCTTCCTGCCTATTGATACAGATGTCAGATCACAAAGCAGAACCTCAGGCTCTCTCTTACCCCATATGTAAGGGAAGCAACAAGAGAAATAATAAAAACAAACTCACATGACAAAACTCACTGGCTCATGTCTAGCGAGGTTTTTGGATTTACAACACCAACCACTGGTGAAACAGGTGGTGAAACAGGTTTGTTAAACACCAAGAGCCCAGGCTAGTTCACATGTCAGAAGCACACACTTTTTCACACTGCTGCAACAATGAAGAGCCTCCTCATTCTCCAAAAAGTGCACGCAATGGAAGGGCTTTCAAGAAGAAAAATCTAACACAGCATTAGCCTAGAACCCAGATGAAAATCAGCTGACTTTGAAGACGCCAGCAGTCAACTAGATTCTTCAGGTCTTTGTTACTTGACCAGGCAGAAGGAGAGGGCCTAAAAGCCACTGAAGTATTCCTGCATTTTAGATTTCTAATGAGGACATAACTTAATACAAGATTTGTCACCTAGCTTTCCTTGCTCACATGCCTCATTATGCCTCTGTGTGTACAATTTGTACAGTGCTTTCCTATTGCTACATCAGCAACTAAAATGCATAGGGAATACACACACGCACACTTCATCTCCAAGTTTAAACTCAGGAATACTAAAATAAGAACAGGCTACCTGCTAAAAGAAAATGAACATCTGACAATCTGTCCAGTGTTTCTTTGTCCCTACCAAACACTGAAACCCCTCAAACTTTGGAGAAAGCTTAGAGAAAAGAACAGCCTCTTCTCTCAAACCAAAGATATTCCACATGCAGTCAGTAGTGGCTTCTCAGGGAAATTTAAAGTGTCAGTATCTGTACCTGCTTCCATTATACATTTACGCTCTGGAAGCTATGATCTTAAAAGCTACATCTAAGGAGCAGAGGGATCAGCAAATGAGCAACAGGAAGCGAGTAAGTCTCTAGTACAACTGGATAAAAAACATTGAAGTTCTCCTGATATAGTGTGACTAGCAGGAAAAATGTCTTTCAGGGAATCAGTAGAATTTTGGTAGCAACTAATGCGCTCTCTACTTCTGGTTTAAAGTGCCTTACTCTTTCTAATTCCATTGCAAACGCTGTTGTAGCTACAGAAATGTATTTGAAGTGTTAAGATGCTCAGTTACCAAATGAGGCAACACAGCAGGGAGGTGCACATTACCTTCTCTGCTATCGAGCACAGTACAAAAATAATGACAGAAAATGTATTCCTAGTTTTCCCTCGGGGCTTCTTTTCTCTTCTCTTGCATTATAAACATCAAGACACATATCCAGTCTCCTACTGTGGTCTGCAGTGCTCCCAGGGAGAACAAAGCATATGAGGAAGAAGGATCTGCATCAGATGGTGTACCATGATGGCCTTACTGGCCAGACAGCAAGGAACACTTAAGCAGGTTCTGCAGTCAACACTGCCCTCACTGTTTTCTCCTCAGACACTCAGCAATTTCTCATTGCATGAAGGTGGCAAGCACAGAGCTATTTTTAAGATGGGCTTCTCTCAGCATAGATACCATGCTGTGGAAACCCTGCCCAAGGCAGTCCCAAGTACAGTCCTTCTGGAATGCACTGATCAAAAGATGCAAAGATTTGATCTTTCTTCCTTCTACTTTCCTAAAGGCCTAATCCTCTGCCTCAGAAGGGCTTTCTTCCTCCCAGCTGAGCAAGGCTTATTCCTCCTTGGAGCTGGGAGCTTTCCAGTGCCAGCTGGTCACAGCAAGCAGGAGAAGGAGTGAGGCTGGTCAGTTCTAGTGCAAGTCAGTCAGGATTTCAAGCCCATTTTTTCCATCATCTGCTCATATACAGTCCACGCCATTGCTGCCATCAAAGTACGCCTGAGGGCACGAGGCACACCGCCTCGGAAGAAGCCAACCAACCCAAAGTCCTGCAGCAGAAAACGAACAGCAATCCATTACTATCTACCTCCAGCATTTTAAATCCTCATCATTTGTTACATGGAACAGCCCAGCATGTATTTCAGCTCAGATTCAGATCAGCCTCTGAAAGATCCAGGCTTAAATTACATTCAACCTTTAGGAAGAATCCAAAACACTGTGCAATTACAGGGCACCCACTGAAAAAAGAAGGGTATGCCAAAATAACAAAGGACAGGGAAAGCCACACTCTAGCCTGACAAAGAAAACATCAAGGAGCAATTGTTTTAATATGCTTCAGGAAAATGACTTGTCCTTGTTTTAGTGCTCATTCCTGTACACAGAAATAACATAACTGTTCTTTAAAAACTGAAATTTTTAAGTACTGAAAATAAATACATCTGTTAGGAGGAAACAGTTCATGCACAAAAAAAAAAAAAAAATCCATACACAAATACAGATTCTTGTTTAGGAAAGAAAACAAAGCAAAGCTGCTAAGATCTACTACATTCTAAGGAAACCCTTTGCCTCAGTGTGGTAATTACAAATGTGCCTACACAGGTGGCAGCAGCTGCAAGCACAGCTACTCCAAGCTCACATTCGGAGCTGAAGTAACCACCAGTGTGAAGACAAAGGCATAGCAGACAACTGAAGCCTAATCATTCAGCAGCTTGATGCATGAGGCAGATCTGTGTGGAGAGATACTTGTGGAATTAGACCACAAAGGTGGGCACAGCTTACTCTTCAACTGCCTATCTTCTGTAATTTTGTGCAAACAGTTAAAGGATTTGGGAATGGCAAGAGTAATTGGGGAGCAAGTTCCACTCCCTTGTAATCCATTCAAGAGGAGCAGGAAATAATCTGAGTAGTGATAATAGCCTATTAAATACAAAGAAACTCAAGGAACAGACTGAAACATCTGCCTTCAAACCATCAACCACAGCACCCATCCAGTTAATTCCTTGAGCAAAATTCCCCACGCAAAAAACAGTAACAAGAGATTCAGCCTCAGACTCCCCCGGAAGGGCCCCCCCCCATCTTCTGAAAATGCTCACAGTGAATAGCCAGACCGCAACAGCATACAGACAACTGACTCAGCATAACTGTGCTCTGGGCAAAAAGACTCAGAAGCAAGGCTGCAGCTGCACCAATTAGAAGAGATTTGCCTTACCCTGTAGATGAAAGCAATGGCCTGGCTTGTCCTGCGGTACTTTTTAGGGGACAGCTGCATGTGTGTTTTGATGACATCAGCAGGCTGCGTTGCCAGTGAAGCCAAGATTCCCGCAAAGATCCCACAGCCAAAATTCACCACAGGCATGAGCACTGGATCCGGCTGGACTGTGACAGAGAAGAGGGAACCCACTCAGATACAAAAGAGGCCAGTAATACCCACACTGCATAATGAAGTGAAAATCTACTGAATTATAGAATCAATGGCAGAACATGACAGAAGTTAAAATCTCCTGAGGGTAGAGCAGAAGGGGAAAAATGGCTACAAGTTAGAACAGTTTAAAGCACTCACTGCTAAGGAACTGAATGTAACAAGAACTTAGATAAGGAAAAGTTGTTCAAGTCTTGCCTCAGCCAGTTCCATAAGCAGAAACCCCAGCTCAGTGGAAACTAATCAGTATACAAGACAACCAGCAGCAAAAACCACTGCTGAACACATCCCCTCTTTCAGTTCTTCACTACTCTAACTTATGCATCACTCACCCACCTTAAGCAAGAGTCCTCAAAAAGACGGTAAATCTTGGGCCAATTTCCATCTCTATACTGACATGAGATCTATAGTTCTCCACAACCAAAAGGCAAACATCTCACCTAAAGCCCCACAGCAGAGTAACTGAACTACTGATGACACGTGCAATAAGCAGAGCAGGGAATTTTAGGGCACAATGAGAGAAAAGCAATGTTTTATGTCACAGCTTCCAAAGTTCAGCCTTACCCTGAGGTGTGAGTTTTTTGGTCTGCGTGTAGAACATCAGGTAGATCCCAGAGAAAGGTGCATCCCGTAGCAGGGTGGCAGTGAGCCCACTGAACATGCCACGAGCCCCTTCTGTCTGATAAATACTCTTCAGAGCTCCACACACGCTCCCATAGCCAAATCTTCCACTCTGCAGAGGTAGGTAAGAGTCAGTCATCACATGCCAAGGAGCTCCACTCACACCCTGAGGCCAGTGTTCTCATCTGATACAAGAGATGGCAGTAAAGAGGACAGGCCAAGGCAAAAACTGTGTTCCACCTACCTCAGCCTCTAGAAGGTAAAACAAAAATATCCTACAATTACAGAGGCACTGCATACAAACACAACTTTAAAATCTCAGTGTGAGTTTCACATTCACTTTCTGCTTAGTTATCAGTGGTATGGCTTGGCACTTGTGGCCGAATGTGTGAAGCAGGATGACACCACGACTGCAATCCCTGGCTGTACCAAGGGGCAGCAATTTCCTCCTGACAAAAATGTCTGTCATCAAGAGAAAGGGATGTGACATCATTAACAGTGAACTAATTAGAAAGTCATACTCACCTCATACCGTGTCTTCACCACTGTTACTGGCAACATGCAAATCCCAGATACTGCACGTGCAGTGGCACCCAGAAAGACAGACTCCAGGGCTGTGGGTGAACGGTCCCCTAGAAACTTCTGCTTCATGGTGTACAGAGTGCTGAAGTAAATCCCAACCCCAGGAATACATCTTGCAAAGGACTTCACAGAAGCAGAAGCAAAGAAAGACGGAAAAAGCATACTTTAGACAAAATGTATCACTAAAAGCCAATGGTTTCCTGGGGTATAAGGAAGAGTGTCACAAAGATGGTGACAAAGGTCATGAGGGGCCTGGAGCACCACCCCTATGAAGAAAGGCTGAAAGAGCAAGGATTTCATCACTGTTCATAAATCTAACGGGCAGGAGTCAAGTCACGTTTGGAAGGGAGCTCAAGCACCATGAATCTCCAACCCCCCTGCCACATGCAGGTCCACCAATCCCCACATTTAATACCAGACCAGGCTGCCCAGGGCCCCATCCAACCTGGCCTTGAACACCTCCAGGGACAGGGCATCCACAACCTCTCTGGGCAGCCTGTTCCAGCACCACACCACTCTCATACTAAAGACAGTATCCCAAAGCAGAATGAGGCTGGTGCAGCTGCCACTCACGTTTACAAAGTTTATTCGTGCATTCAGCTGCTCTGGATTGCAAATGCGCAGTGAATGCACCAGTGGCACTCACCACATTAACCATTAACTTCTTACAAGGGGATTTAACCAGCCACATCACATGATTTCGTTCATAATTGTACAGGAGCCAGCCACTTCAATCCAGTCCTTAGTTATCAATAAACGGCAGGTTTGCTTGTGCATGTAATTATTAAGTCAAGGTCGGAAGAGCCACTTACAGGAGAGACGCCTTTCCACAGCCCCAGAAGACTTTCAGTTCGAACCACCCTGAAAAGCACCGTCACCATCCCAGCACGACCGGACCTGGAAGGAACACCAGACAGCACTCCAATGCCTCCCCGCACCACCGGGCCCATCGCCGCACCTCCACGTGTCACCCCGGCCCTCATACACTCCTCGTGGCCCCTTGGCCGCTCCTTCCAGAACACGCCGCTGCTCCATAGGGCCTCGAAACCAGTTACCCGTCCAATTACCCACCCAGTTACCCTCCAAGGGCGCCCGGCGCAACCCCGCAGCCCTCACCCTCCCACGGCCGGCTGCAAGGTCTGCAGGCGGGTCTTCAGCAGATCGAGGGGCTGGAAGAGCAGCGTGGAGCAGGTGCCGCTGATGGAGCCGCAGACGAAGGCCTTCAGCACGGGGTGCATCTGGAGGGGAACGGGGGACATGGCTGCTTTATCCGCTTCTAAACCGCGTCGCAAGGAACGGGAAGGGCGGAAAATCGCTCCTTTAAGGCGCGGCCGCGCGGCCGGGTCCCACACCTCGCACCCCGCGGCACACGGGGCGCCGGGCAGCGGGCGACGCGGGCCGCCCCCCCCCCCCCGTCTGCCATGCAGGGGGAGCCGCGCGGGACCCCGGCGAGCTTCGCGTGCGCCGCAGCGGGCCGGACGCACGTCATTACCTCGTCCTCTCGCCCCGGCATCCCAGCGCCCCGCTGAACCAGTGAGCGCGGCGGGCGGCAATGACGCGCGGACCTTCCCGCCGGCGGCCAATCCCAGCGCGGGCTCGGACGGCGGCGGGAGCGAGCCGCGCATGCGCACCGCTTAACCCTTAGCGTGCCGAGGGATGCGTCAGTTATGGCTTATTGCATCCCGGGCGTGTGATGGGTCGGTGCCGCGGGCATCGCTAAGCACGGGTGTGTGTGGTGGAGCGGCCTGGAGATGAGCGCTGTGTTTAGAAAGCTGCTTTGGGCTTCTTTCTCTGGTTTGAGACCCCGCGTTCTGAGGGGTCACGAATCAGTGATTCTGTGAGTCGGCATCTTGTTTGGCTCCTGCTTTGAGGACACAATGAAATACACGTGTCTCGAAGTGCTGGCCTAGTGGTGTGAGCTTTCACCTCCAATAAAGCTGGCAAACCCAAGTGAGGTGTGTTTGTGTGGAGGTTTTTGTGGTGCTGGGGTGGTGCGTCGGGCTGCTTTGTCCAGCTCATGGCGGCAGCTGGGTGCCCGTGGCTCCAAAGACCCCACAGCCGTGCTGCCCCCTGGCAGTGCCATCCTCATCCCCACATGGAGCCACCAGGGCATCCGTGGGGCAGCTGCAGACACCGGGACCTGCTGAGCCAACCAGAGGCTGCGGCAATGGCAGCCGAGCAGCTCACAGCCCACGCAGGAGCTGGATGCTCTGGCAGTACTGTGGCCTCCTGGTGCCCACCTTGCTGTGGGGTTGGAGGAGCTTTGCTCTCTTGTTATGATCACAATGAATGAGGAGGTGACCGAGCACAATGGGGACAGTAACAGTGGGGCCACCTCCTCTGGTGCAGGTTTTGACAAGGGTGACGTGCAGGCTCCTGTTCATCTGCATCACTGGGACGTCCCCCATAGACATCTTCCCCGATAGTCCCTGGTGTGCAAGAACAGCAGTGCTGCTTCCCCCTCACGGTGATGCAGGGCAACGGTGCTGGGGTGCCCAGTGGGAGACAGGACACCTGGCAGACGCGTGGGGTGAGTGACAGAGCTCTTTCATTGACGTTCCTGCTCATGTGAAATGACGTACTGATCATCCAGGAGATAAGTCTGACACACGTTTCCTTTTCTGTAAGCATGAACTGAAGAGAATGAACTGACTGCCTTGTGGGTTTGTGCACCTTGAATATAACATCTGTCACACAGAGGAAGAGGCACTTTGAGATTCTGTGCTGTTAGGGTAAAGACTTTGCTGGCGGCTTGGTGCTGAAAGGTAAACTAAGGTAAGTGCTGCCACTATATATGTATGAAGATATACTCACCTCTCAGATGTGCTTTATACACTGAGACATTTTTCTGGCACTTCACACAGTACTGGATTATGGATGGGGACCTGAGGAGCCTGCTGGCCGGAGGAAAGCAGGAGGACTTGCAGGTGAGTGGATGCATCTGGGCTTGTTCCTGAGGGGCTGTCACTGGGAGAGGTCATTCTGGCGGGGACAGTGAGGATGTGGAACAAATCTCAGTGGTTGGGGTTCTTTGAAAGTAGCGTATGTGAAGGCACCTTCTGCAGAGGAGGCTGCTTTTGTCAGGGCTCACACACCCCTCCCTAGAGTCACAGGGGAAGTCCCTGTGCAGGAGATGTGCCCTCACCACTCTCAGTGGGCTGGGCAGGCTGTGGTGGGCACTGCCAGGAAGCTGCATGGCTTTGGAGCCGTGGGCACCCAGCTGACTCCATGAGCTGGACAAAGATCTTGACAGAACATAGAACTGAGCCGCAAAACCTCTGCTGAGAGCTCTCAGCACCCTTGCCCATTTGACTGCTATTTTGGTGGTGCTCCCTCCAGCACTTGGACCAGCAGATCAGGCTGGATACAAACATGGGACTAGGCACATCAAGAAACTGTGGAAGGAGGCTGATTTACCACAGCAGCTGCATTTCCTTCCATCTTCCCTGCCCCTCTGGCTCAATACCCTCATCCTGTTAGGGCAGAGCCATCACACATGTTCATTCTCCATTTTCCCCATTTGTGTCATCTGACCTGGCCAAGGCACACCTGATTTTAACTTGTGGGCTTCATGTGAGATGAACTATATTTTTACTAGGAACGTAATTTGAGATTAGGATCTCACGAACTTCATTGTCCTTGAACAGGTGGATTACCATTTGTCACCAGCAGTTAACTCCTCTGCACCCTATGATAACATGTACTACCCTGAACTGGACACTGACTGTGAATTTGAAAGTATTCCATCATTTGCATCTTCATTTTTTCCAGTGCTGTACTCTATATTGTTTGTGGTTGGCCTCATGGGAAACGCTTTGGTTGTTTGGGTCCTAACAGTCTTTAAGAAAATCAGGGCCATGACTGATGTGTATCTGCTGAACCTCGCCATCTCTGACCTCGTCTTTGTCTTCTCCCTCCCTTTCCTGACTCAGTACTCCCTGGTAAGCCAGTGGACTTTCGGCAACGCCATGTGTAAAATTGTCAGCTCTGCTTACTTCATTGGTTTCTACAGCAGCGCCTTCTTCATAACCATCATGAGCATTGACAGGTACTTGGCCATTGTGCACTCTGTATATGCCCTGCAGGTCCGGACAACCACCCATGGAATCATTGCAAGCCTGGTCCTTTGGGCAGTAGCCATTTTAGCATCAGTGCCAGGCCTTGTGTTCTTCCAGGAAGTGGATGATGATAACAGGACACTGTGCATCCCTCTCTACCCTGGCAGCAGTAATGGCTGGAAGGTCTTCAGTAATTCTGAAGTCAACATCATGGGGTGGCTGTTCCCTGTGAGCATCCTCACTTTCTGCTACCACAACATTTTGAGAAACCTGCAGAGGTGCCACACTCAGAACAAATACAAAGCAATGAAATTGGTTTTTATCGTTGTCATTGTGTTCTTCCTGTTCTGGACCCCCATCAATGTCGTGCTCTTTTTGGACTCTATGAGGAGCTTGCATATCATCGATGACTGCCAGACTAGCCAAAGGCTTGACCTGGCCATGGAGCTGGCCGAGACACTCTCCCTTGTGCACTGCTGCCTCAACCCCATCATCTACGCCTTTGTTGGGGAGAAGTTCAAGAAGTATCTCTGTGAGGCTTTTGGCAAATATACCCATTTTCTCTTGATCTGCAAAGGACACAGTGCCTTCAACAGACGCAACACGGACAGACGCTCGTCTCTGTACACAGCATCCTCACAGTCCTCTTTCGTCGGCAGCATCCTGTAGAGCTGCAAGGCAGAAGCTCCATACTTTAGACTTGATTTGAAACCAAGAAATTCTCCCAGTACTTCAATAAAAACAGTCTTTCTGTTTCCTTGTAGGGGGAGGTTTCGGTGCAATGGCCTGTTATCAAAGTAAGACTAGGAAATCACACAATACCAGAGCAAGCTGTAGTGCACCTTGCTCTTTCATGTGCTCTGACACCATTCTGAACAGGGACACTATTCTGTCCCGTGCTTAGCAAATGTGAATGAGAACTTCAAACACTGAAAATCACCTTGCAAAATTCATCAGGTACCCCCTGCCCACCAGCTGAATAGTTTATCAAAGAAGATTTTTGTCTCTATCGCAGGGAAGTATGGGGATGCACTGTTCAGACAACTTTTTAGGACAGGAGGTACCTGAAAAGTAGAATCATTTGCTTAAGCCTGCTTGTATTATTTGGGATTCTTATTTTTTAGCATCTTTTTTATCATCTTCCTCCCCTTCCAGTAGCTCCTTCTGCCCAACCGACTTTGTGGAAGTGAGGCTGAAAAATTATTAACAGACTTCACACCAAGAGGTATGCCCTGTCCCTCCAGCACAGGACACACGGCCTCCAATATTCCTAATGAAATGATGAAAACCTTGAAGGATGGGAATACGCAGCCTCTCTATGCAGATAGGGTGTCAAAGTCACACCTCAGTATTCCTCACCTAGATGTTGACAAAATGCATGTATAATATTTATTTTTTTTTAATGCTTATTTAATTCCTCATGCATCCTGAGTGAGCTGCCACTCTGAGGGAGACAACTAAGTCTCCCCTAAGGAAAGGTCAGTGGTTTGCATACTAATACCAAATGGATGATGGTTATGGCACTGGGGCTGAAAGCCACCGCCTTCTGGTCTGCATGAACAAATGTCTAATTTTGGAGAGTGGATGAGAGCAGACACTGTTGTCTTAGGAATGTTTCTTCTCTCTGCTCAGGCCTGGTGTCGGGAGGAACAGCTCTCATTTCCAAGCCTGGGACAGCAGGCAGCTCTTTCACTTGTCTCAGCAGAGTGGATTTATCCTACAGGCAGTGACTGTGCTCATCGCAGGGTTGAGAGCATGCTTTGTGAAGGGAAACAGTCCCTCAGTTTAAGGAATCACTCCAGGGCTTAGCTGCTACCTGATATCTAAGCAAAGTTTCCAGATAGAGCTTAGTGAATGAGTGAACTAGGCAAGCAGCAAATAAATTACTGTTATATGGTAAGAGTGATGGGTAAAATCTTCCTGGGGATCTGCAGGAGGTAGCACAAATATTGACAGATAAATGCAATGGTGCTTTGAAGTTTTTGTTCCTTGTATATTTTTCTCAACAGGATATCACCCTGTTTTAAGTTTTATAATAAAGATTCTTCCTGCAGTGTAAATGCAAGACCTGAAGAACTCCCCTGTCCTATCACTGATTATTTCAGATTGCACATTTTCTTCTGTCCTGGCAGATTCACATAACTGACCATTCCTCCAGCCACCTCCTCTCTCTTTCTCCCTCTTTCCTTTTCCCTGGGAGAAAGAGACTGAGAGCAGGTTGTCTTTGGGCAGGTTATGTTCTAGCAAGTCAGCCTACCCTGGTAAAATCCCTACACCTTTCGAGTACCCTTGAGGTTATTTCCTAGAGAAGATCAGAACAAAACTCAGAAGACAATTCTCTTTAGCTGCTGATTTTCAGATAGTGTTTATTTTAATGTGCATCCATATTGGTGATCTGCAAAATGCAGTCTTTTACAAGAACAGGTTGATAACAATGTATACTACAGGTAATGTTCCTTCATGTGGGCAGTGACAGATTCCCCACATGATAAAGCAAAGACTGTGAAAAGATGAGTTTTAACCACTTCCTCAATACCAGCTCTGCACTGCAGCTCCTGCCATTTGGGCAACTTGCCACCTTTGTTTTTTTGTATGTACAAGCGTTTAAATGCCCAAGAATGGGTTTCACAGAAATTAAGGTTGAAGCTGAAGTGTGGTGAACAGGATGCCAGCACCAGCTATCTTTATCCCCTGGAGGTTTGCAGCAGTAGCGCTCTATATCATACCTTGCTCGTAGCACAAGGATGGCAACAACATCTGCTTTCCCACACCACATATTTGTGTATGTGCACCACTGCAGGATTTCATGGCATGCATCCTGCAGTAAAGGATTCTGTAAAACTGACTTGCAGACAAAAGCCTTCCTTGCATGGCACAGCTCTCCCCCCAACAGCTGGCACAGTCATTCAATTTCCATCACAAGATCACTGCAGGAAAATAGCAGCACCTTCAAATAACAGAATAATGGGAAATGCAGAATTTCCATCCCTTCTCACTGCCTACACTCTTTGTCTGCCTATGCTACCACTGTGCCACCCTTCAGAGCTATACCACCTTCATACCCACAGAAAGCAGGCTCAGGAGTTGAGTATCTGCATTGGAAAAATGTCCCTTTAGTAACAGAAGGCTCCTTATCAAATGCTTGTCGTCCATTTCCACGTTTTCCCCTTCCTCCTCTATGTAGGAACAAAGCTTTTTTTTTTTTTTTTTCTGCTAAATTTCACCAACACTTGTCTTGTCCAGCCCCTGCACATCAGGTTTTGCAGTCAGATCTGAAATGGACATCATTTGCAGTGGAGTAAAGCAGCCCCTGACCTATGCAAAAACAGGACAGAGATCTTTCAGCAAGTTAACCTGTGGCCTAAAAGGGATCCAAGCCACGTAGATTAAGAGCAAAATATTTTTTTCTGAAGTATGTGTCTCTAAGTTTGACAGAAAGTCATCCCTCCCTTCTTGGACCACATCAGGCTCGCTCTTCTGAAGCCCAGTAGTCTCTGCTATTTATTCTCAGGTCATGCTCCCAGTGGGCAATTTCCAGTAATAGCAAAAATAATCAAACAAGAAGCTGTTTCTCCACGCATCTCAGGAAAAGCTGTGTGGAGGTGGTAGCTTAGGCGTAGTGACCAAAATGAGAGGTGCACAGATTGCAGTGAGGCTCTGCCGCAGAGCAGAAAGGTGTGAGGAGAGGACAACAGGGTGCAGCTCACCCTGGGTGCTGGGGTTTTCTTTGTTCTGGATGTGCTGTACTTGTGTGATATGCTCTGAAGTGACTGTGAACTTTTAGATCTATGCATAGTATTAGTCTCAAGTGAGTCTCGAGCAAAGAAACCACTCAAAGACCCACAGTGCCTCCACGGTGCTCCTGCAGCCTATCCTCAGCTGCTCAGGTGAGCTGGTATGTTTGCTGTGCTCTTCCTATGCATCCTCCCAGCTGGAACTCCACAGTGTAGCAAAAATGGGCTCATTTTGCTGTCATTAAAATTTTAATTTCTGGTGCTGATTGAGATGTCATGCTGCAGGTCACCAGCAACCAAGTCAGGACAATGTTACGCTGCATGAAGGAGCTGGTAGATGTCAAGTACCATGGGCCTTCACCAAAGCTCTCTGTGTTTTGAAAGGGGGATGCTTTACTCCTTGCACACAGCTCTCTGCAGCGCTAAGGATTTCCTGCCAAGGCAGCTGCCTCCCTCCTTGCAGCAGCAGCACTGGGAGTCGGACCAACCTCAGCTCCCCGCTGCAGCCTGGCGCTGCGAGCTGCTGCTGCCACAGGGGCGGAGGTGAGACCCACATCCTGATGCTGTGTGGGCAGCAGAACATGCAGTTCTCTGTGCTCCTTTCTGAAGGGACAGGCCTGGGAGATGCCTGCTCTGAGCTGCGTGCAAGGGCACTAGGAGCACAGGACAGCAGAAGGAACCCTCTGCATCTTCCTTGAGTCTGAACGGCATCACAGTGACTCCAACTTGCAGGGCTGTCCAGCAGCTGCTCAGGTTGGCTGAGCTCGTCTGCTCTGCACAGACACAGTGCATGGTCACTTGTTTGCTCAAAAGGAGCCCGCCACAGTTTCAGCACTGGTCCCCACTCACTTCTGCTACTCAGCTTTACATCCTGATCTTGGTCTTTTTGCTGCAGTGAGACAGGTTGAAGGGAAGTCAGAACAACTTGGGCACATCACATAGTCAGATATTCTCATGTGTATCATCCTAAAATCGAGATAAAAGTAACAGTCACTCACATTCAGTCTTGTTTCCTCTTGATTCACTATTGGTATGTGTAAAATACAGAGTAAAAAGGAGTGAGTAAAAGTTGTGTTCCTGGAGGAAATATGTCTATGCACAATGTAACTCCTTTTACAAGCTCCTGTGCAGGAGGCTGACCTTACTGGTAACCTGTGTCCTCCTGTGTATCTTCGATATGCCTGTAGGGTTTTTCAATCACCCTCTTAGGGAAGCAGCAGGGAAGTTGCAGACAGCATGCTGACCAAATTAGCTCTTATCCATAATGTGGCTGTGAGGCTGAGGGTGGGCTCTGTACCACTTTCCCACCAGTAGCCCAGCCACATCACTCTCACTCCAGGAGATGTCTGCTTCCTTGGGGCAGGCAGCCAAGCAGAAGGAATATTCCACCAAAATGGAGTATTGAGCCAAGAAGGGGAGGGAAAAGACAATGTTCAGCACACAGATGTCAGTCATAGCCCTGGCTTTCTTCAAAACTAACCCAGGTGCAGACCAAAGCTTCTGAATGTGCTGCTGTGCTCAGCTAGCAGGGCAGTAGCCAAGGAGTGACTCACTGAAGACCTGTGCCAACCACAAATCTATGAGCTTGGTTCTTTTACCTGAGATTCGTACAGAAACAGCAACCTCAGCTTCATCTTGAAATGTAGCTTCAGTCAGTGAAGAGATCTGTAGAATGGCAATGGAAGAGTTCTGCGATTAGCCCCACACATCTGTGAGCTGTTCACCATGTGCCTCACACTGCCATCAGGGAGGAAGAAATACAACCACTGCTGGGATTCTGGTGAAGGTGTGCAGCCCCACGTTTTGCAAGGTTTGTTAGTTTATTTGTTTTCCTTAGGAAGTATCCACCCTAAAAGTAAATTCAGTCTGAGGTATCACTTCGTTCATGCCTCTCCTTGAGACATGCACTCTGTGGGATGGCTCCACTATAGGGAATTACTAGAAATGATCCTTCCAGAAGGACTCCTCCCATCTAGAAGTGCTTCTCCATCTCTTCTCTGCTGTGGTAACATCCAGCTATGCCCAGAGATAGGATGGTTCACATTTGTAATGGGGCTCTTCCTGGGTGTATGCCCTGCAGTCTGGGCAAGTAATGCTGACCAAAGCAAAGCAGCTGCTGAACCGCAGCAGTTCCGATGCACAACTTGCACGGTGTGCTTCTGCTTGACTGAACATTTTTGCATAAAATTGTGTTTCTCTTCGCTGAGCTAAAATGCCAAAATGTGCAGAGGCACATCACAGAAATCTTCACTCAGCACACTGGAAATGTGAGTTGGGTTTCCACAGAGTGCTGACTCGTGCTGAGCTGTTGTCTCCACCCAACACCTCTCTTATTTCAGAGCTGGCTGGTACTTGCATGGGTCCACTGTGCTTTTTGGCTAATTGATGCAGTCAGGGCTAATTAGTGCAGTCAGAGAATGCCGGGCCAGCTCTGGTGTGAGCACCTCTGTCAGACACCATGTAGGACAAGATACCTCCAAAAGAGCAGTGCTACCAAGCCAACTGCAAGGCCTGCTGTGATATCTCTCACTGAGCTATTTTTCCACTCCATGCACTGCTATGCAGGCAGACTTTCCACTGACTGTACTACATATGTGCCATGTGCATGCACGTGGACATCACAAAAAGATTTATTCACACAGCCCTTCTTCACCTCGCATTCTCCAAGAACACTCAGAGCCTCCAAAATCATCTACGCGCTTGGTTTTGGGGAAGGTAAAGCACATGCATTTTGAGAGGAAGGGCACTTCAGCCCCGAGGTCTTCACATCCCATCTGCCCCCACTGGCTGCCTGGGCATCTATTCCTGTCTTCAAAGATCCTGCAGCACAGGTTCAGGAGGGACTTGTGTGCTAGACCAGCATGTAACAGTGATCCCCTATTTTCTCCTTTCTGTACAGGAGAAAGCAAATGAAACAAAAACAGGCTGTTTACTGATGTAGAGCAGCAAGGGAATAATGCCCCAAAGTCCTACCCCTTTGCTGACCCACACTTGGAAGTAAATGCAATCTTTCTAGCAAACAAGAGTGGAGTGCCAAGGTGTGGGCAGAACACGTGAAATGAACTTCTGAATATTAAATGAGTCATAGAATATCCTGAGATGGAAGGGACCCACAAGGATCATCAAGCTGCACAGGTTACAGATTCATAAGTTGAGAGGACATAGATAGTTCTGGAAAGATGTTTGAGTAATAAGCCTCTGCTCTCAGGTCATGTTATTTATTTATCTAGTT